CACACACACACACACACACACACACACACACACACACACACACACACTTTATATTCATGGCAAAGCAAACAAACCAAAAAACTAAGTCATGGAGCTTTACTTCTTCATTTGAAATTAATGGTTAATTTATGTTCTACCTTGAATTAATTATGTATGCAAATACATAGAAAATCAGCTGTACATGATAACTGTGACGTGTTGAAAGTTGTTTTTAGTAATAGTTATATTGAACTTAATTTTTCAATAAAGTTATACCTTGATCCACTATTCATTATATGTTATTAGATCATGGTTTTCCATAAGTAACACATTTTACTGTAATACTGGTAAATTTAATTTCCAAAGTTTCATCTATAATACACTTATAGAGGGCATTAATGCTGAAGATTTAAAGAATGCAGCCATTTATAACATATGTATATAGTATTGCGTGTCAATATTTAAATTGTTTCATGAAATTTTTATTAATTCGCAGCAAATAATATGATTTGTTATCTCAATATATCTTACTCTTTAACATTTTAAAGAATATTATAATATATTGATTGTAAATTGAGATATATTGAATGAAATTGTATTAATGAAAAATGTATTTTCATTAAAATACCAAAAAAATGAATATGAATTATTTTGTTCCTCTAAGAGTCTTCACCTCTGTTATATTTCAGAGCACCTATTACTGGTGACATTGCTAGGTTTTTCAACAGGGATTGTTCTTTAAGTTCTGTTTTTGTTTAGCTTTTCTCCGTAAGTTGATTCATACACCAAAAACTTCCTGATCTAAGGTAGGTTCTAAGTGCCATGGTAGATATAGAGACAGAAACAAAATTTAGCCAAGGCTTCTTTAAGTTTTTATAAGATACTCAAACATATAAGTATACTAGGGATTTCCCAATAACTACAAAGCAGCAATTATTTCTATTTGAAAACAACCTATAATACTTTTAAATTCAGTCTTTGTAGAAAGAACTGTATTAAGCAAAATTATGTGAATAAATATTCTCCCAAAATAAAAAAGAAAACAATCTATAAATCATGTTCACATTATTTTTGTGAAAATTTAAAACTTTAAATACAAATTACTGGTTCTAACATTCAGGCAGTTTTTACAATGTCATGCTCATTTATATTTATAGAATTATGCCATTGTTCTGTCTAACAATTATTTTCATATATGTTTGTATATGTATATATATGCTAGGTGCACTGAATCATAGAGAAACAAAATTCAAAACAGAATAACTTATATTACAGGTTTATTAAAAAGACTGAAGAAAATATAGTATCGGGCACAGAGGAGAATGTTGCTCATTTTATCTTTAGAGAAAAAGGCAGTCTCCATATGCATGTCTCTGCACTTGAAAAAGCAAAATTATAATGTTTTCATGATGTAGTCCTTATACCCGTTGTCTCCAGATGTCACTATTTGTATGTCCTAATGTTTCTGTGTTGTAACTTTCCTACTGACTAAATTGGAATACTTTCTTTCCAGTTGTGCTGGAAATGTCAGTGTAGGTTGGTGTGGCTCCCCTAAAAGTGATGACTTGAAAGTGAATTTTGGGGGTATTTTGGGTATAAGATTAACACAATAATCACAATTAACATAGCTTGTATGTGGAGAGAAGTGAAAGAGCCCAAATGGAATAATAATAGTATTCTATTATTTTTAGAGTTATTTTGTTTGGCCAGGTATACAAAGTATATTTTGAAAATTGTAGGAGTACCAGTTGGCATAGATAGACTATTCTAAGGAAGCTAAAAGAAATATATAAAGTTGAAGGCCTTTTAATGATATGATTATACTATTGAGTAAAATTTTATAACTTTCAAAATATTGTCATGCAGTAAAAGTACAGTGTCTCATAATTTTGATCTTATAGTAAAATTTCATATTGTTTATATTTGTTAAAATCATATATATGCTTAAATATGTTTGAAATTAAGTAAAAATTACCCACATATTTCTCTAAAAATATGATTAAAATATTTGTGTTGAGTTTCATTTGACAGTTCGGTTTTTTCCTTCAAGACACTCTATGTATTATTACTACTCCATTAATAGTAATATTTGTTTAGTGATATTATACTGATAATTTAATGTGTTTTAGCTGTGAGGCAGAATTCTTAGTGATTTAAACATATCAATTTTTTTACATTCCCCAAGCATAGTTTTTTATGGACAATTTTCATTCATATTTTCATATTTTCATTCATAAACTAAGGCAAGAAAGGTTGCTATTTAGCCAAAGTTACATGATCTGTAAGTGGATGCATCAGGAACAAAGTGCAGACAGGTCAGTGCCAGAGACTATGTTCTGTATAATTACTGCATCTATCTCTCAAAATGCTTGTATGGTCTCAAATCACCTTTAAAAATATCTACAAGAACCATGCGATACAACAAAAGTAGTAAATACAATGTTTGTTTTCAATTAATTAATTTAATCCTTCGGTTCCTTATTTTGTTGACATGAATAAATAAAGATAAGCCTTTTGTTTTATTCTGTACTGCTTTCCTCAAGGGGCGAAGCAGGTGTAGATTGCTCAATTTGTTTAAGTGATAATAAGTGTTTATACACTTTTTTGGGCATGTCTTTAAAGAGAACTGTTATTTGTGAAGAGTTAAAGGATGAATACATTTCCTAAGATATACAATGTATTCCAGTTGTATGAATGAGTATCTCATTTCTTATCATGATACATACAAAAGACAGTGATGTACCACTGTTCTCAGGCAATAAGACAGGAAGACTAAACATATACATGTTGATATCTAGTCATATGGGACATAGTGCTTAGTTATTTTGTATGTGACTCTGAAATGACAGGTTTAAAATTTAGTTTATTGTTGCAACAAAATTTCATCCTAAATGAGAATATGTGATTGATACTTTGAAGACACCTAAGTGGTTATTTTGAATATCTTGAGAGATGGTAAAAACTAAGAGACAGCTCACAGAAAGTTCCAGAAATTTCAGTATAAGAAAATGGTACAATTATGAGAGTCTAATGGTATTAGGAATATTGCTTTGGTAGTGAAATTATACAGATAATGTCATTTGAGTGACGTGAGTGATCTGGCATCAATACTTGTAGAGTAACAATATATTTACTTTGCTTTGTTTATTTTTATAGGTGAAACACAATTGCAAAATGTCATACTTGGAGAATAACACTAAAATTACTACATTTATACTTTTGGGATTGACTGACAACCCAGAGCTGCAAGTCCCTCTGTTCATAACGTTCAGTCTTGTCTATCTCATCACTCTGATTGGGAACCTGGGCATGATGGTGTTGATCTGGCTGGACTCCCGCCTCCACACTCCCATGTATATTTTCCTCAGTCAGCTCTCTCTGGCAGACTGTGTTTATTCCTCCGCTGTGACTCCAAAGGTGATGGATGGGTTTCTCACAGGGGATAAAGTTATCTCCTATGGAGGATGTGTTGCTCAGATGTTCTTCTTTGTGGCTTTTGCCAGTGTTGACTGTTTCCTACTTGCTGTCATGGCTTTTGACAGGTATGCTGCAGTGTGCAAGCCCTTACATTATACCACAACTATGACATCTAGTGTGTGTGCTCGCATGGTGAGTGCGTGTTATGCTTGGGGTTTGTTTGAATCTGCTATACATACTGGATTCACCTTCTCCCTCCCCTGCTGTGCTAATGTGATCCATCACTTTTTCTGTGATATACCTCCAATCCTGGCTCTTTCTTGTTCTGATATCTATGTGAATGAGATTGTGCTCTTTATCTTAGCTTCATTCAATGTCTTCTTTGCTCTGATAGTTATCTTGACCTCCTATGCATTCATATTTATTGCTATTCTGAGGATGCGTTCGGCAGAAGGACGGAAGAAGGCCTTCTCTACTTGTGCATCCCACCTCACTGCTGTCACCATATTCTATGGAACTGTTATCTTCATGTACCTACAGCCCAGTTCTAGTCATTCTATGGACAATGACCAAATGGCATCTGTTTTCTATACGATAGTAGTTCCCATGTTGAATCCAGTTGTCTATAGTTTAAGGAATAAAGAAGTTCATAATGCTTTCAAGAAAGTTGTTGAGAAAATAAACACTTTGTTGAGCTCCTAATTTTTTTTAAAAAAATAAATTAATTATTTTATTGAAAATAGCTGGGCCATGATTTTGAAAAACATATTGATAAAATATTAAACATTTGATCTAAGTATTATTTTGGTTTCTCTTATTTTTTTTTTTTTTTTTGCTAAAGTGTCACGTCCTTTACTTAATGACTTAATTATTTTTACTTAATATCAAAGGTTCTACCGCCCCTTGGTGGTAGTCATTTGGAACTTGCTAATAATGCAAAGTTACAAAGCTGAATTACTGCTAATCTGACAGTGTGTATGTAACTTCCTATTTCCTTCCATCTCTGTCAGAAGGAAAGACACTTCAATGAACACCTTTAAACAGGCTTTCCTGCTGACACTTAGCCATCTCTTCCTATGTTTTTCCCCATCTATTTTAGACATAGTCTCCTGTAACTCATGCTAGTCTCAAGCTCACCATATTGTAAATATTGACGCTGCAATTCTCTGATCCTCTTACCTCTGCCTATCTTAAGTATTGATTATAGGTGTGAGCCATCAAAAGCACATAGGTGTGGCTTTATGTTCTATTCCCTCTGGCGGTATATTGGGCACAAGGCTTTCTGCATGTTAGACATGTTCTTCACCAGCTGAGATACATCCCTGTTACTGTCTTTTTAAAGATAGAAATTCACATCAATACATATAAAAAAAAAAGAAAGAAAATCTTAAATTAATGCAGACTATACTTCAGATGGCTCAACAAGGTTAACAAGACAGTGAAAAATAGCAAAACTAGTTGCTTTGTGTGCAAGGGCAACATTTCAGTGCCCTTATTTATCATTTTTTTTTGTTTTAGCTTTGATGTTCTTTGTTTTTGGAAACAAGGTCTTACTATGTAGCCATAGCTGTCTTGGAACTCATGATGTAGAGCAGGCTTCCCTTGTACTCACAGAGATCCATTTGCCTCTGCCTCCTAAGTACAGGGATGAAAGGCTTGTCAGCACTTAACTTTGTCTCAGAAGATTTGAAAATCTGTATGGTTAATCAGTAATCTATTGTTGTGCACGAAATTCCTTAAGATTTAATGGCTTAAGATAATGTCTGAGTATTTTATGAAATCATATAAACACTGACATTCTTCTATTTACATTTATATTTACCTATGAGGTTCTCTATATTATATGAGGTCTACTGAATTTGAAAAGTTAAGGCAGTTTCACTATTTTATTTGTGGTGTTGGACATTTGTGCTTTCTGGGTATGTTTTCTTTATCTCTACCTTATCGTATAGTGGCTGGGCCAGTTAGTTGGCAGACACAATCAGGAGAGTATTTCCAAATTCTGAAAGTAAAAGTAAAATACTTCTCCAAGTCTAAGCCTACAAATTGTCCTTCAAAAATATCGTCTCTATGGGTTACTGCAAGACTTATACCTTACTTATTCATATCTGAAGAAAAAGTGATCAATGCCAGGAGCCAGCCCCAGCTTGGTGGGAAGAGAAGGAGATCTTCTTTCTTCTCCTCCAGTCAGTTCTTCTTGAGGCAGCCGAGGGCATTGGAAATTGGAAGAGCGTCGGCGGGGGTAAGTCTTGGTCTTACGAGATTCTGGGGAAGACTTTGGTCTTACGAGATATTTAAGGTTGCTCTATAATAAGGTTTACTTCTCTAAGTTATTAAAGTTTACTTACTAGTCTACTGTAGCTGACCTGCTATCCATTTGATCCACTGAGGCCAGAAACTGCAGTTTCTTGCACTTAACACCTCAGCCCAGGGACAGCAGAGAATTAAGCAAATAGCCTTAGTACTCTCTCTGCAGGCGCTGCTAGGCTCTAACTTAGGTCTGTTAGTTTGAGGTCGCAGGAAGAAAAGACACTTAAAGAAGTTATTGTAGTTTATTACTAAGTGTAAAAAGTTTCCTATGAAAGCTATCTAAGAGACAAAGTGGAAAGGTCCTAAGTGGGGAAAGGGAAAAAATTCTAACAAAGGAAAAATTCTAAGTGGAGAGATTCTAAGCAGGGATTAAAGAAGAAGGAGAGAGAGAGAGAGAGAGAGAGAGAGAGAGAGAGAGAGAGAGAGAGAGAGAGAGAATGAGAGTACCGATCCCTTTGTCTTATACATCATCCAGAGTACATGATCACATGTTACAAAGTTCATCACAAGTTCACACCAAAATTCAAATCATAAATTGAACTAGAAGTTTACAACAGATTATGCTTACATACATATCCATTAGGAGTAATTATCTGACTAAACATCCATCACTTGTATAGCTCCACAGGTTCATTGAAGGTTTAAAACTATAACTAAGAAATTAGTGAAGTTTTGTATAGATAAACCCAGGCAATATTTTCTCTTCTGTCCTAGTACCTATAATAAATCCTGAGTTCCCTTTGAGTGACCCTTGGTTAATTGTTTTACAACCACCTTGGAAAGTGCTCTGAGCAGGATAGAGTCTGGTTACTATCTAAGGGCAAATTAACTGATGACACTCGGGAGACTGGCAGAGTTCTCATAGCAGCCTTGAGTATCAGAAAGGGGCATAATACCAGTCCCACTATAAAAAGAGCTAAATAATCATTGATATAACTTTAGGAATTCTTATAGGATCATCATTAAGACTTAAGAAGTCATCCATTTGCCTATATAGCATCACTACAAGACAGTACATCTTCGTGGTCTGCAGAAATCTGCTTCAAAGGGGTGTACTATTGCTTAGTGATTGTTACATATGTTTAATAATAATGAAAATGATAATAATAATAATAATAATAGGAAAAGCATATTAATAGCAGGATATTTTCTAAAATATGTCTGCCACAGCTTTGCTGAATGGGGAACACTTGTCGCAGATTATATAATAATCCGAGGCAAGCATTTCAGGATGATCAACTGCCAATTATTAGCTTGTCCCATTATGGCTCCTGACAGATCAACTCTTGGGAAAAGGAGAAGCAGAAAGTTTATGTTCATAAAATGATATAGTCTGGCAACATTAGAATAATTTGGCTGATCTAAAATGCTAAAATTAGAAAACAAATAGTGGCCCAAAACAACCTACTTCGTAAACATCAGTATTTAGTGTAGCAATGTGGGATGCACTATTCTCTGTGTTGAGACATTCTAACTTTGGAATGAAGGTTCTATTAAAACACAGACATATTTATACTAAGGAAATGTACTTCAAAGAACCCCATGTCTCCTTTCTCTTGAATGTGAAATTTCTTTTGTGTTTCCTTTATTGGAAGTTATATGAATAAGCCCATGAAATATGCAGATTACTTTTTTAAACTTTTTTTTTTCAAGAGAGGGTTTCTCTATAGCCCTGGCTGTCCTGGAACTTACTCTGTAGACCAGGCTGGCCTCAAACTCAGAAATCCTACTGCCTCTGCCTCTGCCTCCCAAGTGCTGGGATTAAAGGCATATGCCACCACTGCCCATCCTGGAGATTGCTTTTATTAAGATTCTGAGCATATATAAGTGACATTTGCACATTCATATTTTTTGCCACTCTATTCTCAGAAGCCAATTTCTAGACTCAGTCTACGTGTCCTACAACAGGAGGATGTGTAAAGCAAACATGGTAGTAGGCACAGTAAATTTCTATGCAGCCCAAGATAAGAAATTATAACAGTGTAAGGAGAAAGCATGACACTATAAATAATCAGGTTGAGAGAAATAAGGCAGTTTCAGAAAGACAGTTATCACATGTCTTCTTTCATACAGTATAAAAGCAAGAATAAAAAAAATGAGAGTGCTAGATTTACTTCACAGAAAGGGTATGTGGGGTGTGGGGTAGACCAAGGGGATTTAGATAATGTAATAAAAGTAGACACAGCTATAGAAAAATTAATTCATGAATGGAAATGTCATAAGAATACCTACTATGTTAAATAGTATTTAAATCTATCAAAGAAATGTAGTAGAAACAAATTGGTAATGTATATGAGAAAATCTTTCTCTGTAGCAATTATAATTAGTATATACAAATTAGTATATTCACAATACTGGATATAATTATGACATTTTAGTTCATGCCTTCACTCTATTTTGATCATATATACTTCCACTATTATTCATTATTAGCTCCTTTACCCCTTACTCATATCTAATGACCTTCTTTTATTTTCATGTATTTTTACCTCTAAATATCGCATATGAGAGACATGTGTTGATGAGAATGGTTGCTTTCAGTTTCATGATTGATAATTTTAAAATTTTGAAGTGATATGAATTACTTTTGCTTTAAAGTTGAATAGTACATAATTTTATCTGCCATCTATGTACCATCTATCATTATTTATTTATCATAGTTTATTAATTTGTTGTTAGATACTTCATCTAATTGTATTACTCAGCTCTTTTCAGTATATTATCAATAAACATGGCTATGAATGTATCTTTATAGCAAACTGACTTTGTTTTGGGGTCTACTCTTTAAAACCAAGAGTAGTGTATCAAGATCATAAGGTAGTTTTACTTTCAATGTCTTTTTTATAAAAGTTATCATTAATCTCTCTTTTTTTTTACCATCCAGTCATTATACCCTTTCTGGTCTGCCCTCCAACAATTCCTCATACCATTTCTCCCCCATCCCTATCTCTAAGAGGATGTTCCCACAGCCACAACATCCACACCTCTCCTTCGTGCCTCAAGTCTCCTGGATTAGGTGCTTCTTCTCTCACAGAGGCTAGACAAGGCAGTCTTCTGCTGTATATGTGTTGGGTGCCTCGTACCAACTAGTGTATGCTTATTGGTTGGTGGCTCAGTGTCTGAGCTATCTCAAGGATCCAGGTTAGTTGAGACTGTTGGTCTTCCTATAGAGTTGCCCTCTACCTTAACTTCTTCCAGCTTTTCTATAATTTAACCACAGATGTCCCAAACTTAAATCCATTGGTTGGGTACAAGTATTTGTATCTGTCTCAGTTAGCTTCTTGTTGTGCTCTAGGAGGGCAGCCATGCTAGGCTCCTGTCTGTAAGGACACCATAGCATCAGTAATGGTGTCAGTCCTTGGAGCCTGCCTTTGGCCTGGACTCCAGTTTGG